ACCATATTAATTAGACTTTATTAATTGTATAATGTTTCGATTAATCAACTAAACACTTGAATTAGACATCCGTCATTGATAGTTTCATTTTATTTACTTATTTTTATAGTTTATTTTAGCATATTTCATTCATAATTTAGATAATTTTCATGCATATTTTCCTTTTTGTTATTTTATGACTATTTCGGGTACTTTCTAGTTTCATGAGCTTTATTGCAAATTTCATGGAGACTAGTGGAGCGGGAATGTTCAGGACGTATGGAGGGCGACTGGACTTAGAGGATGTCAAGGATCTTGGGCTTTATCATAATAGAGTTGATGCTTGGAGTGGGCTTGCTTATTAATTGAAGGCTAGGAAGAAATAAACTTTAAATTTGCAAGATGCGGAAGAATATTCGAGCGTGTGGAGATTATTAATCGGGCGATTTCACGAGCTATGTGTGATTTGGAGAAGCCAAATTGGGCTTAAAATGAAGAAAACTTGAAGAAAAATGGGCTAGAAGCTGTTCGGACTCGAATTGGGCCAAGTGGGCTAAGCTGTGGAGGCCCAATACTCAAAGAACACACAATCTGATGCCACCCGTGCAAGGCTGCGCGCACGACACTGCAGGTGCAATTTCGGAATTTCATTTTGGAAGATTATTTGAGGAAGGTTGGTGCCCATCTTTTGGACACTCTTGCACATCCGAAAAATCAATTTTTCTCTGGAGATTTTGGGGCATTTTGAAGACCAAGAACACCTCAAGAACTTCATCTTTTCACCTCTTAATCTTGTTGAATGTTTGGTACAGTCTTTTCTAACTTTGTTTTCTTGAGTTTAACCATGTTTGGCTAAGCAAAACTTGGTTGACTTTTGTGGAATCCTTTGAATTTTGTTGAATGTTGAAGAATACATGAACTTGTTCTTGAATCTTTATAGGAATGTTTTGTGTTTTAACATCTTATTACTACTTGTATGTTTTTATTCATGAGTTTAAATGTGCTTGTGGTGATTAGTTGGCTAATTTCCTGATTAAGTAAAGTATCTTCAAATTAGCAAGCAACATGTGATTTTTGTGTTAGTTTTGCTTCACACAATCATAAAAACATTTTTCCAACATGGTAATGAAAGCATTTGACTCCTCTTGGACTTGGTGACTTTTGGTTCTTAATGCTAGTTGACTTTCACTAATTACATGCTTAATGGAAATTGTGACTTTGACTAAGGAAATTGTTATGGGCTTCTCTAACCATTTTAACAACTAAGGAAAGTCTAGGTAATCTCAAGCTTCTTGGATTACTATAGCCAAATTAAAGATTTAAAACAAGTATTGCACCATTGGATTCTAATGATATGTTCATCAAAAGTCAAAGTGAGGAAACCTTAAGTCAACCATCTTTCTCTTATTGATTTTACATTAAACTCATATTTTTGTTGAATTGTCCATTTAAATCTTAGTTTAATCCTAGTTTTATTTCAAGTATTTTAAAAGATCAAAACCCCTATTTTTACTTTTATTGTTATTTTATAAGTACTTTTACAAAGAGATTTTTCGTAGAGTTATAAAATTGAACCAATCTCCGCGGATTCGACCCCTTTACCACTATACACTATTTTAGTGTGAAAGATATAGGGTTATTAATTTTTTTGACCTCGACAACCACCAGTCATGCCATGTTCTAAACATGCATATTATGTCTCTCTATGGTCCTTCCTTTCTGAATAGATAGATTTGACATTATTCCAATGATACTCATATCACAATTCCAAATCCTTATTACAAGTGTAAGAATTTCCAAAATTCTTGTCACAACTAAATGTGTCAGAAATTAACCTTTCGTGCAATGATCCTTTTGTGATGACGTGGCCTAGAAGTTACAAAGACTTTGCCAACGATGTCACAAAATGCTCCAATGAAACTTTGTTACTTAAAACAATTTCATGGTAATGAAGTATCAAATTCAAGGTAACTCCTTGAACACCTTCTTTGCATTAACGTTTCTAACTCACATCCAGATTCTAATCATCAACTCCCATTATGGAAACATGTCCATATTTCCATATGACAATCAATTATGATCAAGAATTATCCCAATCTGAAACATGTCAGTATGGTCCGTCCAAATGCTATACTTCCAATTGTCCATAAGCAACCAATCTTTAGCGAACTTCAGATTGTCCTTTAACAGTTGTTTATCAACTCTAGTCATATCCAGTTCTAGTCCTTTTCCCTCTTAATGCCTTAGGCATTTGGAAAAATCAGAACAATCGAATACTATAGCATATGTGATCAATCCTATATCTGAAGCATATGGGATTCGATACATAATGTCCACATAAAGACATGATACTTGATCAGTCTCTTGCTATAATATTCCATATATAGAATTTCCTATGTTGGATCATTTTAACACGATATTCATATATGTTCATGACTAAGTTCCATTAAATCTAAACTTTTAGATTTGGAATGAAGTATAAGTGCCTTTTCCCCTAAATCCTTTTTATAGCAAAACAATTCTCAAATATAGCAACTTGAAAACTGAAAACTTTGTTTCCTATAAATAGTATTGCCAACTTGCAATACTTACCATAACTATTATTCCCCCACTAGCTTAATAATTATACTCTTGCTAGCATAACAATTATGCTCTCACTAGCACAACACTTATGCTCCCAATAGCTTTGACATGTATCCAGAAATCAATTGGACTTCCAGAAAATCAATGCTCTTGACTTTCTTACTAAAGTTCAG